AAAAAAAAAAAAACAAAAATTTTTTAAAACAATATCTATGGATTATACATGCTGAAACACAAAACTACAGTAATTTCAATTCATGAAAAAACCAGAAAAAACCTAATTCGAGCTTCAACACGATCTACTCAAGCACTTACCGTAGGTTTTCGCTGTTTTAGTTACTGTATGCCTTCTCAATGTTACAGGTGCTTTCGTAGTTTGGTATCTACGAAGTCCACCTGTAAACTTTAAAAACTGTTGTTTTGTTGTTAAAGCTGTCGGTGGTGTTTGTGGTAATGATGGTGGTGATCTCGTTGCCGCTGCTGCTCCTGATCTTGCTCCAGCACCAGCTTCAGCTCTTGGTTTTGCTGTTGTTGTTGTAAGTAGTATTCTTCTGGTTGGACCAACGGTAACAAATGATCGCTCCAAGTCAGAAATGAGCGTCGTTCGTACTGAACTGTCTGCTTTATAGAAGACTGCTGGTGTCGTTATTAGATCGAACCAGAGATCTTCAAAATAAGTTGGATCATATACAACTGGGTTTGACGTAACCCTATAGGGATAATCAACAGGGTTCAGCGATCCATGCGATGACGATACATGTGGTTTGGGTAAATTTGGTCTTCGTATCGGTGTTGGTGTACTTGACAACGAAGGCATATAACGTGATCGCCACCGATTTGCTGGTGGTGTTACCGACATGCTGGGTGCAACAACAGTTTCACTGTGAATTTTTTTTCCACTTTTCCCGTAACTGGACACAATTTTACCATCGCTTTTTCGTCTATTTTCACCAGCTGCCGTCGGTCTTTTTTTGCCATATTTGGCTGCAGCCGATCGATACAGCTTTGTTGTCTCATTAAAGCGTGGTAAAAGTTGCGGTGCGTTGACAATTAAAGTTGAATTAGATGAAATTTTCGGGTATAAGTTACGTGTATAAGGTGAAGGTGTTGGTGATTGCGGCAAACGATAGTGTTTTGTCACATGCTTTATCACCGGTAGCAGTGGTGTTCCTTGAGTACGATAATTGCTGAACAAGTGCGGAACATTTTCATTCCACGGTTTACGATTCAAAGGGGAAACAGTGCTATGAAATGATAATGATGGAGTATTAACAAGCGTCGTTTTACGGTACGGTACGACAGGTTTTAATGTCCACTGTCGTGGTTGCTCATTTGATTCATCAGAGTTACTATCATCAACATTATCATCATCTTGGTCATCATCATCATTAACATCAACTTTGTGAGAGCTGCGTTCTCTGTTAACACTGGATGGTTGGTGTTTGATATCTTTTACATTAAAATTATCCAAAACTGTAGACGATGAAGATGTCGTATGCAAAAAATGTGTTAAAAAGGGTCGCACAGACGTTGGAGAGGAGATAACATAAAAATGCGTTGCAGAATTAATTACAGACGGCTGTGTAACGCGTGAATACTCACCGTTAAGTGGAGATTCTGTAACCAACGAGCGTTGCGATGGAGTTGGTGCCTGCGTCACGTATGGAATCGATGTTGTGAATACTGGAGTTATCAGACCTAAATATGGTTTGTTTTTTTTTTCTTTCCTTCAACTGTATGTAATAGTATAAAGGTGGAATTAAAGAAAATACTGGTAAAAAAAAAAAAAAAAAAAAAACTTGAGAAAATCTCATGAATGTTAATTTTTTGTCAAAAAATGACAAAACCAATAGAAAAAAAAAGCGAGAGATGTTATCTAAAAAAAAAACCTTTAAAAAAAGAAATGAAAAAGTAAAAGACAAAAAAAAATGTGGAAATTAATAAGCAATTAATTAGAGATCAGACTTGCATGACATTAATTGTCCCCTCACTAGCTGCGTTATCCCCCTTGTTCAACTAGTCATCTAAAATGAAGTATGACTTGATTAGCAGATATAATCAAACAATCCTAAGTTGCTTATATAAAATTTGCTCAACCAGACAACGCCGTTTAAATCGACTAATACCACCACCACTTTTATCTATCGACTGCCTACTTCAGTTTCAGTTACAAATTTGCAATGCCAAATTTAGTTCGATCGCTACAAATGCATTAAACCACACCTATTTTTTGTTCAAAGCTAAACTTGCATTCCCTTCTCAACTTTTATCACCTTCGTCAGTACTTTCCGTCCCCTGATTTCAAAAATTACAGCATTTCGACAGCAGTGACTATTCTTTCCCCAAAACTAATTGTCAGCTGATGAAAATTTTGCACTGACATACTCGAGAAAGAAAAAACTATGGGTGATGACAGTATAAATTTCAAAATTTTCGTTTTAATCGGAAACGATAAATCTTCTTCTCACCATTTTATTATTCTATAGCCTGTATAGCCAAATCAAAAATTCCTTGTTAGTTTTTTTTTTTTTTT